TTGTGTTGGTATATCTAAAATATATTTACAAATATTTGTGTTGGTATATCTAAAATATATTTACAAATATTTGTGTTGGTATATCTAAAATATAATTACAATGTATAATCTAATATTTTTAATATTTAAAAAACATTTGTTCGTGAGCTACACGAATCATTAGAGATAGTTCGCATAACTCGCTAATTCAATTAAGGTCGATCATTTGATTCGTTTATTAAATAAACCTTAAAAACATAGTTCAGATTCGTGAAAATCCGAGCTAAGCTGAGTCTGAGCTAATTGCTCATTTTGACACCCCTATTATATGGGTCCATAACAAGTTTAAACTTTTGTCTGTAGACTCAATATCACTTTGACATTAGATGATGCACTTTACCAATTATTTATTTGCTTTTTCCGTCTAAAAGATTTTTATTTATATTGTCGGTAACTGATATTACAACGCGAGATTTCAAATCGAAGCCCAAACAAAGGGAGCAGAGCCCAAACATGGGAAGCATATTACATTAACGGAATCACAATAGCCGGAAATATATAAAATTGAAACTAAATCTCAAGGCAAACATAAATTGAACAAAAAGAACCAAAGGGACATCACATCAACATTACATCTTCTCAGAACTCATGTAGAACCTTTGACATAGAAAACCAGATAACACACCGATAATCAAAAACCTCCTATAGTGATTAAGATATACCTACCAAATTCAGTTTTTCTTCTCTTCATAATCCAGCAAGACGAACAAGTTTAACAAAACTTTCTCCTGGATGCGGCGATGTCAACAAACGAGACTTTTAAACGCCTAGATAGAAGATGTAATAAAAGACCAGATCTCGATCGGATCTGTTTTGTAGAGAAAATGAGCAACTACGATCCATTCCAGATAGTACCCAACTCAATCAGACCGAGAAGGGAGCGAGATTGAACTAGAAAGGAAACAAAGGAAATACACACGAGAAGTTGAAAATCCTGCAAAAATTGAGAGAACCCCTAGATTTTGAACAATCATAAATACTGCCAAGAGAGGAAAAACCAAACCATAACCGACAAGAGCTAGAGACCACTAAGACTAAAGAAAAAGCATGCCAACAAGAGCAAAGAAATAAAAAACCTGAACTATAATTTTAGATCTAGAGAACATAGATCTAAAAATCCAGATTTGATTCCAGCTTTATTCAAACAAAAACCGATTAAAGAGCAAGGAAACTGAAACTAAAGACAAGGGCACAGCTCTGGCGCTATCAGAGCCGCCGGAGCCGAGACGAAACGGCGAACCTCGGGTGTGGCTGAGAAGAGAGGAGATGGCGATCTTTTAGAGAGAGAAAGGGAAAAGCATCGTGAAATATGATGTTTTTACCAATTATTTACTTGCTATATTGTATTCATTTAAACCCAAAATTATACCTTTGTTAATCTTTCTCTCCCTCCGGTAGGCCTGAGCATAAATACTCATTACTTGGCTTGTACCTGCTACTCGTCCCGTATTCATTTTGAAAAAGCAAATACTTGTCTCGATCAAGTCGAGTAACAAGTCAACATATTACATTACTTGAAAATCTGAGTCAAATATCAAGTCAGTAAAAAAAATTTACTACTTGGCCCGTTACTCGACTTGACTCATTTATATTATTTGGCTTGATACTTGTTAATAATATTCATAAAAAACACTTCATACTCATTTATATTATTTGATATTCATTGGTTAAGGTTTTTGACATTTGACGGCATACAAAATCATTTTCAGGTTTACATGTGTGTGTTATGATCATTTTTACATTTGTTATGTTGGTTTAATGGTTTTATAGGTAAATAAAAAAAGAATCAAGAAGAAAACTACTATGATGTGGAGTATTGAACCAAAAACTTGTTTTTTAAAATGCTTATCT